GAAATTATAGTAAAACAATAATGTTTTCCTAATTTTACCTTGGTAAAATATTTGAAAGAAGAAGAAATGGATGTTTGATGGAAGTTGTTTTAATGAAAAATGAGAGAAGAAGAATGGTGGAAGAAAAATGAGAGAGCTGAAAAATGGGAGAGAGAATGTGTCTGGGAAAGAAGAAGGAACCTGAATTTATGGTATGCAACTAGTGAGGGGCTACGCTCACACATTTAAAGAGGATAACATTTGCAAGGGGGTACCCCTAGCGAATGTTGGCGTGTTGCAAATACATTTTATGTCACGTTGTACGCTTTAATAGCAGGAATAAATGCTTTTTATGACAATTTTGACTTTATCATTACAATTGGTGAGGGGTAGCCCCCTAGCTGAGTGCACATATAAAATTGGTGAGGGGTTATTCCCTCGCAAATGACAACCTTTGCCAACCCATTTTAGTGTTCTTTCCTTTTTGCGAGGATGACTCCTAACAACTTTCAATTTTAAAATTCAAAATTTTTCTCCATTTTTGCGAGAGGTCACCCCACGTTTTGATTTAAATATTTTTTATTTATATTTTGTGGATTGAGAGGGGTTTAACTCTAAGCAACTTTGTTTTTTTAGTGAGGAGGTTTACCCCTAGCAAATGCCCATAGCTATTAACAATTTTTCTTATAGTGATAGGGCATTGTGTTATTCGTGAAATTTTGAGTTCTATGATATTATCATGTTGTTTGGCTAAATTGATGTGTATTTTCATGTATAATTTGGTATGTGATTACTGTTTTGAAATTGTTAATATTTTCTACCATTGTCTAAGGTTTTAAGTTTCGGGGTAAATGTGAAAATATGAAAATACATGATTTTATTGATGTTAATTTGTGATAAATTGTGAATATGTGGTTTTAATCATTAGATAATTGTTGTATGTCAAATTCTGAGATTGAAGTTTCTTACTGAATCGAAATCGGAGATCCAGAATGACTTCTATTATGGAAAACATAGAAAAATAAATTCAGGGTATTTACTCGCAGATTCTGGGATAGCGACGAATTGACTGTGGGAAAAAACCCAGTTCTCATGACTTTCGCTATGCCTAACGAAAAATATCATAACTTAAGTTCCGTAACTCGGAACGAGACACAGTTCGAAGCATTGGAAAGCTAATGTGTAGTGCCATCTCATGGTGATTCCTTAAGAGGATGAATGCATACTTAATGATGTGAATATACTGTTTTACTTAAGATTTAATGTCGGTGGTTATGTTTCTAGCTACTGAGTTGAGTTTTACGTGTTGTGTTGTTGTGCGATTCATGTTAACTGTTGCTGGGAATGTTTTGGGTGACTTCAATTAATTAATTGCATGATTACACTGGGTTGTTGAGTGTTAATAATTGATTTATAAAATTATTTAATTTTCATAATTAAATTAAGAATGTTATTCGGTGTTGTTATGTGATTAACACGACAGATGATGTTTTGTACGCATAAATTTGGTTGTCTATGGTGTATGAATATTTGAGTTAATGTGATGTTTGTATATGAATATGCATAATTGTTGTTATGGTGGTAGTAGTTTGAAGGGGGAACTACATTGTTGTATGTTATTTATGTTTTGATATTGTTTATGGAACATTGTATGATTAACTATGATCATTGTGTTTGCACAACGAGTTGTTTAAATTGATGTGTATTTTGAAATATAATTCTATTGAGATGAATTATTAGCATGCTCGTGTCACACTGTTGATTGATAATGTGCATTTTTTGAGTTTAGTGTGACCTAATCCAGCGAGGGGACTACTTGAGTTGTCAATGCATTACGTTCGGATCAGATGAGAGGTCTTAACGTATTGACTTGATGATATGATCATGCATCATTAGAGTTGTTTTAAGAGGCATGTTTGCTAGTTCAGAAGAGGGGAGCAATGGCTTATCCTAAGCTCAGAAGAGGGGGTTGAACCTTAGAAGAGGGGGCTCATGGATTCATAAGAGGGGCGCGGTTCCAGAGAGAACCAAATATTGAGTTGGTACCACATGTATATGCATAGAGTTTCATAGTCGAGTTGCTTTGCATAATGAGTTATATGTATAATTGTTTGAGTTATGATTGATTAATGAATTTGGGTGTGAGATTGTGATGAGATATATTATAAATGGTATTGTGTAGAATATGTTGTATAGATATCCTACCTTGCAGTATATGCCTGTTATTATTATTTGTGATTTCTCACCCTTTTATTGTTGTGGTAGTCTGTGCTCCTCTTCAGAGTACATATAAGCAAGTAACTAAGTATTTGCTTAGAGTGGAAGGATGGTGAGAGGTTGTTTCTTCTTATTTTCCTTTATGCATTTAGTTTACGTGCTCTGATATGTAATACTGGGGGAAACGTTTGTGATTTATCTTCTGTTGTGCTGAGTAGAGAGTTAAAGTATACTCTTATGGTTGGTCTTTTAAGGTTTTGAAGAGATTGTATTTATGATTTTGTTAATGTTATAAAGTCTTTGAAATTAAACTATTTATTGATTGCATGCTTTGTTAATGAGAAATTCCGCTTCGATGGTACCATAAGTGAAGGTGAACATATGATGACACTCTAAGTGAAGGTGTTGATTGTTGTTTTATTTGATAAAGTGTTACAGGGCATGTATGTTTGAAAAGAGAATGTGTGACATTCTATTTGATTGTGTGAACACTATAATTTTATTATATAATCATGTGCGGGGGAAATAGGGTGTTACATATGGCAGTCCTGAAACCATGTTCTTTCTATTCAAGTTGTTGATATCTATGAAATTAAGATGACTAAGTATGCAGTGCCATACGCATTCACCCTTTCTTGCTGCAATTGCCAGACACTTGTGTTGTGACATCTAGTTTAATATTTAAGATTTTGTTCTGAGACATTGGTGCCTTCAAGATTTACTTGCCACTTTAGTCGAGTACTCTCATCATATTATCTTCGATCAACACTTTGTAATTCTTCTCGATCAATTGTCTTATGATGAGCAAGTTGCTTTTCATGTCTGATATGTACAATACATTGGAAATTAGTGATCGTTTCCATTTCTCCTCATAATCAGAACATCACCAATACCTTTAGCAACTAGGGTATTGTCATTTGCAAATTTCACCTTGTACTTCATATAGGGCCTGATGCTGACAAAACAATCTCTCATACCAGTCATGTGTGATGAGCACCCAAAGTCTAAGTACCATTGATCCTTGAATCTTTCTTCTTCTTTTGTTGTGACCATCAACAACACTTATTCTTATTTGTGTTTTGCAAGTCTTACATTACTATCTCAATTAATATTTTTTGTTTTCTGAGTAACCACTAACAAACTCACCATGTTTCTGACAATTGAAACACTAAATATGACTCTTATAAAGTTTCCTTCTACCACCTTTGTGATTGCTTTGGTTTTTGGAATGTCTCTGGTTCTATGGATTTCCTTCTTGTTGGCAACTCCTATCATTTTAATTGTTATAACCTCCTCTACCTTTGTTGTCGTTCCATATTCCTTTGCCTTTATTTTCTTTTGATGATTGTGCCTGCAGAGGTACATCACCTTTTGTTTTGCTTGTAGATCTTTCAACAATTCTTTATTCATGAGTTCAAGCATCCCTTGAAGCTTTTCTTTTGTCATGCTTGACAAATCCTTCGATTCTTCTATTGCTACAATCACATGATCAAATATTTGAAGCAATGGCCTTAAGTTCTTTGTGACTATCGATCTTGATGTCAACACTTTTCCATATATCTTGATTTTATTCACCATTCTTGTTACTTTAGTGAAGAAATCTAACACACTTTTACTTTCTTCCATCTGAAGTAACTCATACGTTCTTTTGTGAGTTTGTAACATCACTTCTTTCACCTTCTCAGCACCTCCAAAAGATTTCTCTAGGATGTCTCATCCTTCCTTCGATGAGTCTACATAACCAACTTTCTCAAAGTTTTTTTTGGATAAACATATTGATGGATTATAAAGAGAGCTTTATAATCTTTATTCTTTAAATCTTTATGTAAAACCTTTTGTTCATCCGTGGCATTCTCGCGAATTTGTGTTACTCTATTCTTCATAAGATCCCAAACGTCTTGATTGTAGAAGACATCATCCATATGCTTATATCAATTATCATAATTCTTGTAATTTAGATGGGAAGATTTGATGGAAAATGCCCATTCGAATGAGAAGTCATTGTTCTACGCTTTCCAAGAATCGCAACCAGCGCTCTAGATACCAGATGTTGGAATCGATTTTGATAGAATAAGATTCAATCGCTTTCTCAATTTATTCAAGATTTTTTTCCTCACTCTTCATTTGACTTATTCAACTACACCTTGATTGTAAGACGATTGTCTCGCACAATAATTTGAAAAAGAAATGAAATATGTTAAAAAGAAAAAGGGGAGAGAAGATAGAAAAATAAGATTTAAGAGAAGAAAAGAAAAATGTAGTTTTCGATTCTACTGAATACAAAGTTTCTTTCTGAGTTCACAACTGTGAATCTCATCGCTTATTACAAATGTATCGTACCTCCCTATTTAGAATGAGATTACTTGCATATCAAATAATCTCAAACTAAATAATTTCGACTAGTTATATTCGACTCTGTTGAATACATGCACCTCTATCTACTAAAAGCTATATTCAATTTTCTATCAAATACATGCAAAGTCAACTATTACAAACTATATTCGATCAATATTTTATCAAATTCATTTGACTTCGAGTCTGTTGAATTATGTATTAGATACATGTTTATAGAATGTATATATAACATACACAAACACAAATAATCTATTTTAAAATTTATATTAGTTAATCTTTTTTATAAATTTTGAAAAAATTATTAATCATTAATTCATTGCCCTGGACAATAAAAAAGTGTAATTTAGCTAAATATATACCCTTAATAAAAAAAAGAACAAGTATTCAAATGTCCGGTACGGTACTTGACAAGTCACGGCTGTGTTGTGTTGTGTTGTGTTGCTACAGAGATGCTGACGGCGCTTGCTCCTTATCCTTCCTCCACATTCCGACCAACATCCATTCGCTGCGCCAACGACCGTCAGGCTCTGTTTAACCGCATCGCTCCTGTCTATGATAACGTAAGCTGCTCTTCTCCTCTTCCTTGTCTCCTCTTCACTTCTCTTCCTCGCCTTTCTTTCTAACTTTTGTGCAGCTGAATGATTTGCTGAGCTTGGGCCAGCACCGGATTTGGAAGCGAATGGCAGTTTCCTGGACGGGGTACATATTCACTTCATTTCCTCAAAACATTACTACTATTTTTTATTTTTAATTTTATTGTTTTTATGTCAATTGTGAACAGAGCGAAAATGGGTGATAGTGTGTTGGATGTATGCTGTGGAAGTGGTGATTTAGCGTTTCTCTTGTCCAACAATGTTGCCTCCAATGGCAAGGTCTTTTCCCTCTGGTGAATTCATATTTTGGGGTTTTTAAGTATTCTACTCTTGCCTGAAAAGATGTTCGTAAAAACCATTTTTTCAAAATAGATTTGTTAACAAAATTATTACGGAAAATAACATCCGGGCTAATCTACAAACTGAATTGCAAGACACTTGAATTTGGGTGGCAGGTGATTGGTCTTGATTTCTCAAAAGAACAGCTAATGGTTGCCGCATCACGGTCATTTTCAAAGAACTGCTACAAGAATATTGAGTGAGCATGGGTAACTTTTGCAGTATGCTGACATTAGATTAGATAACAGTCTCAGTATTTTTAACTGATATAAATGCTCTTTCCTCATTTAATAATTCATTTTCTTAGATGTTCCTCGATATAAAGCTAAAATAGTGAAGAGAAATCTTGTGATCGTGATAATATAGTACAGATCTTAATCATTTGTTGCAACCTAGGTGGGTTCAAGGTGATGCTCTTGACTTGCCATTTGACGATGGTTGGTTTGATGCAGTCACTATGGGATATGGTCTTCGAAATGTTGTTGATAAGCGTAAAGCCATGCAGGAAATTTTACGTGTACTGAAGCCCGGTACCTGTTATATCTAACTCAATATATTTATCGGTATTTATGTAATATAAAATTTTACACGTGGAATGCTTTCTTTTCACTTCCAGGTTCTACGGTGTCTATCCTTGACTTCAATAAAAGCAATGAGCTGCTAACTTCTTCAATTACGGTATACCATTGCAATATTAATATTTCACACTGATTAAGTTTAGAGGAGAGTTAACTCTCCACATGTGTAAGTGAATCTTAAATCATTACATTAACAATTTTGATTAACCTGTATTCGTCTTTTTTTCCTGCTGGTGTGAACGGAAGGTCTAACCCTGAATTTTTTCCTCTGCTAGGAATGGATGATCGACAATATTGTTGTTCCTGTAGCTTCTGTTTATGGCCTTTCAGAAGACTACAAATATCTCAAGAGTTCCATAAGAGAATTTTTAACGGGTTTGTTTTCAATTTAATTTATCTGATCAAGCTTTTAATTGAACACGCTTTATTATAATTTTAATAGAGTTTTTATATTGTGTTATCTTATCTCTGTTTTCTCTGCACTTGTGAGGTAATGAGAAACCTACTTTGTGAATGGCGCTATAGGCTATAGCTACTTAGCTAGAAATATTGAGTACCGAAAAGTTCTTTTGAGCTATCGGTACTCTTAAGTAATTGATTATCAGTACTCTTATGTGATTCAGAGAGCTTGAGAGGAGAGTATCTCTTGCCAAAGAAGTAGCTCTCATGGAATGTGGCAAAGCCCTGTGCAAATGTAAATGCACTCATATGAAACCAAAACTAACATTTTTTTAATAATTTAATTTCACTGTTATTACTTTATAAGAGTGAAATGAGTTTTAATACAAACTTTGCTAAAACTGCTTCGGTCTTTGCCACGTGATATGCCTCTATTTCAATTCGTTTTATTCTGCATTGAAGGATGAGCAAGTGAAATTTGTACAGTTCATAGGCGTGTTTAGTAAGAGGAAAATGATTGGCAAAGACGAGGGGAAAATAAGCTATCATGTTTATTGATCTTAGAACCTTGTCATGTTTATCACATAATTTAATAATCCTCCTCTGATGCAGGGAAGGAATTGGAGAAACTTGCTTTAGAAGTAGGATTTTCGACTGCCCGACATTATGAGATCGGTGGTGGACTCATGGGGTGCTTGGTAGCTAAACATTAGATGAGATTTAGGGATCATCTTTGTGTATCAATAGAGATTCCCACCTCCCCTCTTTTTTCTGGTGTGGACTGTGTTCAGGCTATATAAATATAATTTATAAACTCTGCAGTTAATTCAAATACATTATTAACAAACAAACCGCAGCTCTCTTACTGCCCAACGTTCTATTGTTAATTAATTATATTTGCAAAGTTTGAAGGAAATGCTCTCCAATCATGTTTTCATCTTACTTCTTAGTTTCTTTCTTAAATAGCGGTGCTGTCATGATTGTTCAAAATTCCAAACTAGTTCATAGTGCTGTCATGATTGTTCAAAATTCCAAACTAGTAACTATGAACTTCTGCATATCAGATTAATCTAAATTATATAATATGTGTATCATGGAACTATACAGTTTACATTATTTTCTTCCCACAATTGTATTAGAAAGTTTGCTTTAACAATTAACATCTCCTTTAGCCTGAAGTATACATTTGAAATAGTAACTGATCCATGCATTGTTAGCAACCTTCAGTGTCATAGTTCCTAGCTAAGCCAATTTACTTGCGGCGCGATAGACATGCTGTGTGTAGTGGTTTTCTCTGCATTCTCATGGTCATCTGGGATAGAAAGAGCTATGAGACATAGTAGCAATTGAATCAGTTGCATTGGGGAGGTAAAATGCGTCACCACTTGTGTCATGGAGTTCCATAGTATTCTCATCTATGAAGGGCGGATTCGAGGGAGCAACAAGAGGCTCCTCACTCTTGGTTAGCATCTGTAATGCCTTTGACATAGTTGGTCGCAATGAAGGGACCTCTTGAGTGCATAGAAGTCCTATGTGAACCACTCTTAAAAGCTCATTCTTAACATCACTACTATTGCGGTCATCGTGCAACTCTATATTTGGATCAAATAGTTCTTCGGAAGCGCCTGACTGAAAATGCTTCCATGCCTGATGTTGCAAGAATGAAAGTCAGATAAAAGAGAAAGAGCTCCATAATTGAACAACAATCAGAACAAAGCAGCAAAGGAATCTGCAACTGACCACTATAACTAAGCTGTCTGAATATTCTAATGCTTTGCTCCTGTTGTTCTGTCTTCCTGTAACTATCTCTAGCAGTAACACTCCGAAACTATATACGTCCGCTTTTTCTGTTAATTGACCATGAGCTAGATACTCTGGAGCCATATACCCCCTGCAGGTCCAGGAATAAACTAGTACATGACTATTTCATATATAATACACTTTCCTTTTTTGCAATAGTAGTTTACTTTTTTTCAAAACTTTTAGTATTTACGAAACAAACACAATACTTACAAAGTTCCTGCAATAGCTGTACTTATGTGGCTTTTGTCTTCTTGAAAGGACCTGGCCAAACCAAAATCGGCAATTTTAGCTCGAAGCTTTGAGTCCAATAGGATGTTGCTGGCTTTTATATCTCTATGAATTATCCTGATTTTGGAGTTCTCATGCAGGTAAACTAATCCTTCAGCTGTCCCAATAATTATTTCATTTCTCTTTCCCCATTTTAGCTCTCTGCCCTTGTTTTTATCTGTCATGCAAAAGAAACTTTATATTTAGTTCAGATTATGTTAAATTGATAATCACTTAAACAAACATGAATTAATTGTCTAAATTACTACACGGGTTCAGAAAAATACCAAAAATGAAGCGATCGAGACTTCTGTTGTGCATATATTCGTAAACAAGCAGACTTTCAGGTCCTGAACAACTGCATCCTAATAGTCTAACTAGATTCTTGTGTTCAACACCGCTAATTATGTTGACTTCGTTGTAGAAATCTGCTGCTCTGTGTCTGTTGTTGAAATATAACCTCTTGATAGCAATCTCTCTTCCATCAGGTAGAACTCCCTGCAATAACAAAATTATTAAGAACAGCTTGACATGAATTAATCTCTACTCATTTTATATATATGTCTTCAGATAAGAGAAATACTTTATAAACCGTTCCGAATCCGCCATGCCCTAACTTGTTATTGTCATTAAAAGATTCAGTAGCTTTTTCCAATGTAGAGTACTTGAAATTCAAGCTTTTTTCCTGGAGAGTCTTTGCTAACTTTTCTGCATCATTTGATCCTGGAGACCAGAATGACCATTCGAATCAGTAATCATTCTTAATGTAATCATGAACAAATAGCGATAAGCTATTACGTTAAATACCTCTTCTTTTCCTTTGAATGTATCTTTGTTTCCAGATATAAGCTCCTATAATCACTCCAACCACTGCAACGATCACCGAACTGACTACTGCAACAACTATTACTAGAAGATTACCTGCACAAGTCAAGATTTTCTCAATGCAGGAAGCTGCATCCTAGCATTTTTTTGTAGTCCACTAAAAAAATGTTACGAACTAAAATTTATTTACCTCGTGAGTTTGTATTTTCCACTTCCTTGTTGAGAAAATCAGTGTCGGAGTACCTCATGAAGCATCCGGTATTGAGTGCCCGTCCTTCTGAGGAAGGCAGGCATCCCAATATCGACGACGATGCATGCTCGAGACATGCTTTGCAAGACTGAGAGTTTAAATTCCTCCAACAATCAGCTAGAACATAAGCAGATTCATTTGCTGCTCCTGATACAACAACTTTCCCTCTGGCATAGCCTTTATTTTTCTCTGCATCTTGAACTGCTCTCAACACTGCTTGCTTCGCCGCTGCTCGAAAATCGGAGTTCTTAGTTGTGTTCCCGCACACAGCTCTATCTCCAGGTCCTTTATACTCGTTAAAGAAACTATAATTCTCAGACCTCATGAAACAACCATCGAGGTAAATGCGGCCAGAGTTATAAGGAAAGCACTGTGGAAGAACAGTGCGTGCCTCGGCATAACACAACACACAATCAAGTAATGAAAGATCTCCATAGCATTGTGCTAGGCCATAGTTGGTATCAGGTCCTGTCCCTGTAACTGCTGTGCCGAAACCTGTACTACTCATCTGCTCGTTGATCCTTACCATAGTTGCGACAAAATTTGGAACGAAGATGGTTGTGTTGTGCTCTAGTTGAGAACCGCATGTTATCAGAACTGTCTTGGCTCTTGATTCTGCCATTACAGTTTGTGATAGTAATGCAAACGTGATGAGAAGGTGTGTGAGACATTGAGAGGAAATGAGAGGGATTGCTTTCTTCATTTTCTGGATGATACAATCTGAATCAGTTTCAAATCTATGGGTAAACACCACATTTTTCACATTACATTTTTCAATTTTTGTTTGTTTAATTGACTTAAATAATAAAGATTATGAGAACAGATAAATAACAGGCAACAACACAACCGATAAACGAGCGACAAGCAAATGGGTATAATCCTATTTCATTATCTATATACTTTTATAGATATTTTAGGAGATAGCATTGCAACATAGAGTTTCTGGAATATAGACTTCTCTAAGAGTGGCTTTTTAATATTTTATTTATAAAACATAGATTTTATAGTAATACTAAATAGGGAAGAAATCTAGTATTTTATTAAACTTTATGGAAACTAATAAAGTTTATATATGGACCACATCGATATCAAACACTCCTGCAATATTTTAATGAAGTTTAATTAAATATTCGAAGAAGACTTTTTTAACATTTTCAATACACTTTTTTAAACGTTCATTAATAACAAGATAAATAGAAAATATCTCTATTAAATTAAATGGAATTAATAAAAAACTGGTAAACCTACCGCATTTATTATCCAAGAGAATAGGCACCACAAACATCATACTCATCATCATCATAAATGATAATTAAATGATACTACCTCCGTTTTATAAAAGTGTTATAAAAAGTGTGCTTTTTTTTTTCATGTTTCATAAAAATACTTCTGTGTTTGTCTAACAAGTCCTGAGTTTTTAATTTGTAACAACTAACAATCACACAGCAACAAACCTTGTCGTTGTATATACTTTTTTTTTCCTTACGCAGACATATAGTAGCAGTTCAACTTGAAAATTTTGAAAGAGAATCAAATATATTTGTAATAAGAGAGTACTTGCTAAAGATGCATACAGTTCTTAGTTCTTACCTTACTTGTGCCTTGCTCTGAGAAACCACTGAGAATTGAATACTATTCTGAAACCTTCGATGTCGTGTGTTTTGGTTGTAGTGAAGAAGAGACAGAGAGAGAAGAAAGGATCATGGTGTGTTTGTATGTGTATAAGGTGGACTTTGAAAGTGTTTGTTTCTTCTCCGTTGAAAAACTGAATATGAAATTATGAGACTTGTTGACTTAGTCCAAACTACTCTATTATGTCGTATATCTCTTCAATTTGCTATTTTGTCCTATATCTTCAATTTTCTAACTTATTACACACGCCATATATATATATATATATATATATATATATATATATATATATATATATATATATATATATATATATATATATATATATATATATATATATATATATTACGATTAAAAATTTAAAGATTAATTGTTATGCACTGTTGGGTAAAAAATTTAATACTGTCGATGTATCAAAATCATCCGTTGATATTACTTTTCTAGTTAAAATTAAAATCAAATTGTTCAAACAAATTAACGGTTGTGATTTATTGATAGTGTAAAAAATTTTTACACCGTCAGTGTATATCAATTATATTAAAAAATATTATTATTATTATTATTATTATTATTATTATTATTATTATTATTATTATTATTATTATTATTATTATTATTATTATTATTATTATTATTATTATTATTATTATTATTATTATTATTATTTAATAGTTACATAATGATGTGAGTTTAAGGCTATGTTTGGATAATTTAAAAATAACGGAGCGGAACGGAATATGATGGAGTGGAATGGAATGGAACCTAATATAAATTTCATTCCACTGTTTGGATATTTTACAACGGAACGGAACTAATATCTCATTCCACTGTTTGAGAATTGGAGGGAGCGGAACGCATTATAACTTTTTTATTTCATTTTTACCTTTTGCTACAATATTGATAGATCCAACATTCTCACACTAAAATAATATATAAGTAATCATAGAAAAATATCAACTTAACACTTGAAAGAAATTAAAACATATAGTAATAAATTAAAATGTTCATAAATGAAACATGGTTATTGTAACTTGAAATTGCAAAGACCAAGTGCACAAGTTTTGATCAACACCATACTGAGTATTCATAGTAATTCATAAACAAAATCAAGTTTTGCTAAAATTAAATGATAAATATATGTCTATAGTAGATAATGATATCAAGTCTTGCTAATAAAAAAGACAAATATTGATCCATAATAGATAATAACTCTCTTCTTTAAACATTCCACAAAACCTGCAAAAATAAAATAAAATAAATTACGCAAATATTTCATTCGTTAAAGATAAAAAAAAAAATACTCAAAAGTGATAAATAAATATGTTACCATTATCAAAAAGGGTAGTTTGGAACAATGAGATGTAACATTTTCTTCCGCCGATTGGAATTCCATTAAAAGCTTTCAATGCATCAGCATTCTTAACAAGGTACATGTATACAAGAGGCAAAGAACTTGGTTCAACCCCAATCTCGACCAATTCAGCCCAAATATCTCCACCATTAGCATTTTTACTCTGTTTGACCAGCTCCATGGAATTCATTTCAAACACATCAACCATTTTTTTAAAAGTTTTAGAAATCTCAATCATGCTTGTATCATCTTCAATAACCTTCTTTACTCGCTTCTTAGCCCTAGATGATGATACATCTTGAGAATTGGTAATGGAAGGCCTTGTAGGAGAATTGTTGGAATGATGTTCATCATCATCAAATCCCTCCAAAATAACTTCATTGGTTTCAACTAAGTGGTTTATTTCTTCGATGGTTGTGTCATGACTTTTTTCAACATTTGCAGCCTTTTTTGCTCTCATTTCAGCAGTTGTACCTTCATGCTCTCCTGTTGCTCGATCTTTTCCAAAAAGTTTGGCCAATTTATCATAAAATAATATTGGTTTGTTTTTTCATTCAACAGCTTTGGGTTTTGCCTACACAAAAAATAAACGAAATAATGCATCACTTAAAAACTTTTTAATGAGTGAACTCAAATAAAACTAATCATCGAGTAAGTGTATAAAACAATTATAGTAAATAATACCTCAATTAGCTTGTTCCAAACTTCATTTTCGGCAATCCACATATTTGTTGTTGAATCCCATCCAAACCCACTCAAGCCATTCTAGAAAAGGTCATAACAAGAATTGAACTTTGTTTTAATGTGTTTCATGTGATATTTTATTTTTTCTTTGGTAATTGGTTTGTCCGGAAAGTGAGTCTTCAATTCTTTAAGAATGTTATCCATAACGCTTGTTGTCATACTATTACCATTTTTATTTCCCAACGTTTGTTGATGCAAATATGCATCAAGCAAAACTTCATTCATGGCAGTTGTCCAATTGCATGTTTCTAGACTTTTGAGTTTCCTCGGCCTCTTTAAACTTGCTTCCATGTCTATTATTAAAAAATACAATGAAGAATATAATAACTTATGCACAAATTCAAATGTAAAGGTTCATCATACACTAAAAATCATTCCACAAATTACAAATAAAAAATTCAATTCAAATAAAATTCTTCAAAACATTATTCATAAGAGTAACAAATCATTAAGAATAATTTTAATAATCTAGCCACATAGAACCTGCAACATTATCTCTAATTGGCTCTCCGCTAATCATATCATCGTTTTCTTCTTTATGATCTTGATGACCCTCTTGAACATCTCTTTCGTTTGCAAGCTCATCTTGCACCTCATCAATTAGAGTTTGATTGAGGTCTTCACCCATCAAATAGTTGTGTAAAATGCAACAAGCAAGGATGATTTTATTTTGAGTTTTAATACTAAATGTAGGCTTTGTTGCAGTTTGTAAAATTGGAAATCTTTTCTTCAACACTCCAAATGCACATTCAATAGACATTCGTAATGACGAATGTTGATGGTTGAATAACTCACGAGGGTTTCGAGGTGGATTTCTAGAGTATTCTTGTAAGTGGTATTGTTCTCCCCTATACGGTGCAATGAGACATGCTTTTAAAGGAAATTCCGCATCACCCAGATAATATTTTCCTAAAAAAAATAATGAGTCCATTAGTTTAGCTAATCTAAATACTTATACAAATATTTTTTATTACTTTTTATTACCTTGTGGAACTTTAAGACGGTGTGCACGTGCCAACACACTCTTAATTATTCTTGAGTCAGAAGCAGTTCCTTCCCATCCAACCAAGACATATGTAAATTTCAAGTCAAATGAGCATGCAGCTAACACATTTTGTGTGGGATAATCTTTTCTACCACGGTATCTAGGTGCGAGTTCTATTGGAACTTTAACACGCACATGCGTGCAATCAATTGCTCCAATACAATCCTGGCATTAAATTTATATATTAAAAGTGTACAAGAAAACTAATCAATTGTTTTAAATTTTGTTTTAAAAATTTGTTTACCTTAAAATACGGTATAATCTATGGCTGTTAAGTATCTGCGGAGGCACTTGTGTTCCATCAGGTTGTTTTAAAAATTTTCCCTCCACCTCTATCAAAGCATCTAGCACTCTATGAAAATGACGACTAACAGTTTCACCGGAGCGTCTAAAAAAGAAGGACATCACACGGTTTCTAACATTATGTCCTACTATATGAAGAAATTTTGCTACTTGTTCTTTGATAGACGCTCTTCGTGTATGTGTAAGTCCATCTTGATCTTGTAATAAAGTGCACAAGTTTAAGAAAGCTTTGGGACCCATACGAATGATATCATAACATCGCTCACTTCCTACAATATGTTTCATCAACTCATTTCTAACTTTCTCTCTTTGCTTTGTGATTCTATAAGGTATTTGAGATCTTCTACGCTTGTTTTTTTAGCAAACATATTAGAACAATAATGAAAGATACTTGAAGAATCATCATTTGAACCAATTTCATATACTTGATTCTTATGTATTCGTTAGCCATGTATAACAAATTAAACAGTAAAATTTACTCTAATTATAAATCCATATACAAATAAATAAAATTAAAATATTTATAACAAATAAAATAAATCATATCAAAATCAGAACAAATAGATTAAGAATTTTTAAAACAAATCAAATATATAATTTCAATCCCAAATTAATTAAGAATCTTTAT